AAAGTATTAGGGTTTATAAGAGAGGCGTCAGCCAAACTCTGTCTTATTACACCCCTAAAGTTTTAGACATGCCCAGTGAGGTGTGACATGAGAGCCTCGACATGACGCCAGCTGAACGCCCCCACAACCCAGGGAGGTAAGGGAGGCTAATCTTAGTGAATGAAGGGATACCTGTCTCCTTCGCGCAACAGCTGAAATACATTCAGTTACTTACTTGTACCTACAGTGACTATTTCAGGTTCTAAACTCGTGTGGGTCATTCAGAAGTGTTTGAAGACTCGACCTCCGCCCACTAAATGTGAGACAGTAGTGAACTATTTTCTTCACGGAGAAAAAACTCTCAGAATAAATAATGAGCAGAGAAGTAAACAAACTGGAAGATTTACATATAGATTGGAAAGATTCTGTAGTTTTTCATATAGAGGGGGAGGCAGAGAGGCTGAACGAAAAGAAGACGAGGAACGAGGACAGGTTCTCGTTTGAAACAGAGAGAATTACAGTGCCAATAACTCTCTGAGTTGACGTGTGCCTGAGAAAGACTGGGGGGGTGAGGGTGGCACTCTGGCACCAGGGCATCAAGGGGAGACAAGTTTGGAGTCGAACTGGCACTCCAACTTGAAGATGATGGAAAGTCCTAAGTCTATTGAGTAAGTTTAGGAAAGACAGAGCAAATTCTGGGAGATCAACGGCCCAACAAGGTCAACTAAATTGATGAAATGCTGTGTTATTATCGCCTCTCAGCCGCTCCAGGTCTTACTGAAGGATTCGCAACACATCAGTGGAACGTGTTGATGAGATATGTTGCAACTTTCCTGGCTCAAAGCGAGGTGATAATCGCCAGATTTATACGAAACAGATATTTTTATTACACACACACACCACACACACACACACACACCACACACACACCACACACAACCACACACACACACACCACACACACACACACACACACACACACACACGGGCTACACAACTAACGCATAAATCACCAGTAATATGTAATATAACGCTCCACCAAAAAACGCGGGCAATGGAAAGCTCTTGTGATATAATGATTTTTGTCCATAATCCGTCGCTTTTGACGAATTAATATGGAAAATACAGTCTAATACTTCTAATTAATAAGTCCTTTACGACAGTGTCCATAATATCGAAACAATATATACACACGCATCACAAAACTGTTTTGTTGATGCGTGTGTATATATACATATAATTTATATATATATATATTTTATATATTTATATTTTTTATATATATTATATATTATTTTAAAATATATATATATTATTATATATTATATATTATATATTTATAATATATATATATATTATATATATAATTGCTATTAAATTTGCAGATGATGATTTATGATGATAATAATAATAATAATAATAAATAATTAATAATAAATAAATAATAATAATAATATAATAAAAAATTAATATAATATTAATAATAATAATAAATATAATAATAATATAATAATAAAAAATAATAATAATAATAATATAAAAAATAAAAATAATAATAATAATAATAATAATAATAATATATTTAAAAATAATTTAAAAATAAAAATAATAATAATAATAATAATAATAATAATAATAATAATAATAATAAATTGGTCATTCAGTGCAAGAATAAAGCGTTTTATTGGTAATAATAAGACCTGAGTGGCTGCGGTTAACTGATAGGAAGCCTTTTTACCTTTGTCACAATTAATTGTTTCTGAAACTTTTAATATCTGATGGGCGGTGAGTGATTCTGATGGGCGGTGAGTGATATCTGTTGGGCGGTGAGTGATATCTGATGGGCGGTAAATGATATCTGATGGGCGGTGGTGATATCTGATGGGCGGTGAGTGATATCTGATGGGCGGTGAGTGATATTGATGGGCGGTGAGTGATATCTGATGGGGCGGTGAGTGATATCTGATGGGCGGTGAGTGATATCTGATGGGCGGTGAGTGATATCTGATGGGCGGTGAGTGATATCTGATGGGCGGTGAGTGATATCTGATGGGCGGTGAGTGATATTGATGGGCGGTGAGTGATATCTGATGGCGCGGTGAGTGATTTCTGATGGGCGGTGAGTGATTCTGATGGGCGGTGAGTGATATTGATGGGCGGTGAGGGATATCTGATGGGCGGTGAGTGATATTGATGGGCGGTGAGTGATATCTGATGGGTGGTGAGTGATATCTGATGGGTGGTGAGTGATTTTCTGATGGGTGGTGGTGATATCTGATGGGCGGTGAGTGATATCTGATGGGTGGTGAGTGATTTTCTGATGGGTGGTGAGTGATATCTGATGGGCGGTGAGTTTATATCTGATGGGTGGTGAGTGATATCTGATGGGTGGTGAGTGATATCTGATGGGTGGATGAGTGATTTTTGAGGGTGGTGAGTGATATCTGATGGGGGGTGAGTGATATCTGATGGGCGGTGAGTGATATGATGGGCGGTGAGTGATATCTGATGGGTGGTGAGTGATATCTGATGGGTGGTGAGTGATATCTGATGGGTGGTGAGTGATATCTGATGGGCGGTGAGTGATATTGATGGGCGGTGAGTGATTCTGATGGGTGGTGAGTGATATCTGATGGGTGGTGAGTGATATCTGATGGGTGGTGAGTGATATCTGATGGGTGGTGAGTGATATCTGATGGGCCCGGGGAGTGTATCTGATGGGTGGTGAGTAATATCTGATGGGTGGTGAGTGATATCTGATGGGTGGTGAGTTTATTCTGATGGGTGGTGAGTGATATCTGATGGGTGGTGAGTAATTTCTGATGGGCTGTAATATCTGACTGGCGGTGAGTAATATCTGATGGGCTGTAATATCTGACTGGCGGTTTAGTAATATCTGATGAGCGGTAAGTAATATCTGATGGTCCGTAATATCTGACTGGCGGTGAGTAATATCTGATGGGTGATGAGTATATCTGATGGGCTGTAATATCTGACTGGCGGGGAGTAATATCTGATTGGGTGATGAGTAATTTTCTGTGGGTGGTGAGTAATTTCTGATGAGCTGTAATATCTGACTGGCGGGTGAGTAATATTGATGGGCTGTAATATCTGACTGGCGGTGAGTAATATCTGATGTGCGGTGAGTAATATCTGATGGGCGGTGAGTTATATCTGATGGGTGGTGAGTAATTTCTGATGGGCGGTGAGTAATATCTGATGGGTGGTGAGTAATTTTGTGGGCTGTAATATCTGATGGCGGTGAGTAAAATCTGATGGGCTGTAATATTGACTGGCGGTGAGTAATATCTGATGGGTGGTGAGTAATATCTGATGGGTGGTGAGTAATATTGATAGGCTGTAATATCTGACTGGCGTGAGTAATATCTGATGAGCGGTAAGTAATATCTGGCTGGCGGTGAGTAATATCTGATGGGTGATGAGTAATATCTGATGGGTGATGAGTAAAATCTGAAGAGCGGTAATTAATATCTGATGGGCTGTAATATCTGACTGGCGGTGAGTAATATTGATGGGTGATGAGTAATATTGATGGGCTGTAATATCTGACTGGCGGGGAGTAATATCTGATGGGTGATGAGTAATATCTGATGGGTGGTGAGTAATTTCTGATGAGCTGTAATATTGACTGGCGGGGTGGGGTAATATCTGATGGGCTGTAATATCTGACTGGCGGTGAGTATAAAATCTGATGTGCGGTGAGTAATATCTGATGGGCGGTGAGTAATATCTGATGGGTGGTGAGTAATTTTTTGATGGGCTGTAATATTGATGGCGGTGAGTAATATCTGATGGGCTGTAATATCTGAATGGCGGTGAGTAATATCTGATGGGTGGTGAGTAATATCTGATGGGTGGTGAGTAATATCTGATTTGGCTGGGAATATCTGACTGGCGTGAGTAATATTGATGGCGGTAAGTAATATCTGGCTGGCGGTGAGTAATATCTGATGGGGGGATGAGTAATATTGTGGGTGATGAGTTTAAAATCTGAAGAGCGGTAATTTAAAATTGATGGGGGTGTAATATTAACTGCGGTGAGTAATATTGATGGGGGCGATGAGTATCTGATGGGCTGTTAAAATCTAACTGGGCGGTGAGTAATATCTGATGGTCGATGAGTATCTGATAGCGATGAGTATCTGATGGGCGATGAGTATCTGATGGGCGATGAGTATTGATGGGCGATGAGTATCTGATGGGGCGATGAGTATCTGATGGGCGATGAGTATTGATTTGGGGGGATGAGTATCTGATGGGCGATGAGTATCTGATGGGCGATGAGTATCTGATGGGGCGATGAGTATCTGATGGGCGATGGAGTATCTGATGGGGCGATGAGTATCTGATGGGCGATGAGGGATCTGATGGGCGATGAGTTTTCTGATGGGCAGCAGGGGCTCGCGGATTTATTTGAGATATGAAACTTCTTGTTACAGTTATATTAGCCCGGGGGAAGCACTGAACCGTAGGGCCATACAGCGCTCGGTTAATGAGAGTTAGTTGGGTTTTCATTTGTGGAAGGGGAGGAGTAGCTCTTCCTTGCTTGGATCAAGAGCTATTGTTCCGCCCCCTTGAGATGGTAAGAGAAGGCACGCA